TTAACCGCTAGAGCGCCAAAAGTTACATAGTGCTGCTTTAACTTACTTAAATTTCACTTTGACGCAACGCTATTATATAACGTAAGAAGACTTGGAATATGCTGCATGGATCATATGGACTAGTTTTATGATACTTTACTTTAATGTGCTTTTTGACTGTTAAGGAGTTTGGCAGTATAAATCACCATGCACCTAATAAAAGCATAAGCTTAAACAGATGCACGATATCTATTTGCGTTCCACAGAAGAAAGAAATTCATACTGGTTTGGAATGACATGAGTGCGAGTAAATGATGACAGAATTTTCATTTTTGGCCAAACCACTTGAATAAAGATCTTGGAATGTACTTGAGTGCGCTGAATGTGTCAGCAAAATGACACTTTTTATCATGAAAGCCATTAGATAACATCTAAACGCCTCACTGATAATATCACGTAGCAATGCGCTTTGCCATACAATGATATGGAGTGGTATTGCAGCTTGAAAAAAAGAAACAAAAGTTCATTCAAGTGTCCACGGATCACATGTGCCTTTAACCAGGCAAAAATAGCTCAAAAGTTTCCACTAATCAGTGTTCTGTACAGATTCACTATTAAGGGTGCAAATCACAGATCCTACTGATTCGGCATCAGCTGAGTCTCATTCTCCCTGTTGTTCTCGATTGTTTGTTCCTCTGCTCCAGATTTGGACTTGCTCATGTCACACACCAGGTAGATGGTATTCTCCGGACCGTTTTTGGCATCAGAAGCACGGCAGATGTTGGATCTCCTGCAGAGGCGGCCCAACTGGTTGACTTCTTGTTTAAAGGACTTGCTAAAGATATAGTAGATGAACGGGTTGTATACAGTGGACGACTTGGCGAACAGACAAGGTAGCATGCTGACCTCAGGAGGGATTGAGTCACTGGGCCGGTAGACGGACCACAGGCTGATGATGCCATACGGCGCCCAGCAGCCGACAAACCCAATGCTGATCAACACAGCGATCTGCAAAAGCAAAGAATAACACGTTTAGATCTGTTTTGGGGAAGATTATATTTGGTGTACGTTCTATACACATGTAAAACTACAAATATGCAGCTTTTCGATTCACAAGATGTTAATTGATGGACTGGAGTGGTGTGGATTACTTGAGGATTATAGTGGTGTTTTTATCAGCTGTTTGGACTCTCATTCTGACGGCACCCATTCACTGCAGATGATCCATTGGTGAGCAAGTGATGTAATACTAACTTTCTCCAAATCTGTTCCCATGAAGAAACAAATATTGGCCTAACAATATTTTACTGTAAAATGACATGAAATATCCCATTAGATCATAGAATAAGAGAACTTACTGTTAACCAATTAACAGGTTTTTACCATAGCATTTTTATAGTCTTATAACATTACATATATTATCATTTTTTACAGTGCATGTTTATTTGACAATTAGATTAGGAAGCAAGCAAGAGAAGATCTCAGTGGAACATACTGACCATCATAAACAACGTGGTCTATTTTGTGTTATGCAATCTCTTTGTGAATATATTCACAATGCAAAATATGAATGCTGAATGCATCACTGTCTTTAAACAACCTTCATATATGATACGAAGCTTCTGCCTAGCAGCTTTGAAGTGGTCTCATGTGGGAAGAATATTCACAGATAAGAACATTGGAAAAGAAAGTAGCTGGGTATTGAATCATTTACAGTTGTTTGGAATAACTGTTGCTTTCGAAAGCTCAAGCACATTAGGGATGAATAGAGATCGGTTTTGAATGAGTTATGTTCAGCTGTTATGAAAATCAAATTCTTACTACAGGGAGACATATCCCTCAGCGTTTTAAAACTAGAAATGAAAATGTTCAGGATGGGATTTCTGAAAGAAGCAGAGTTTGAGTGTGGTGCGATGTAAGGATCAGTAACTGAAAGGATGCTGGTTTGAACCACATCTATTATTTTCTTTCTTCTGTGGAACACAAACAAGCGTTTTTGCATGTCAGGCTTCTCTTTTTTCATATATCAACAGCAGACGGGATTTGCAGCTCCCTTTAACACACTAGTCATCAGTGTTGGGCAAGTTACTTCCAAAATGTAATACATTATA